TATATTTCTGCCAAACGTAAAATCGAAAAAAGCAAAGGAGGCAGACCAAGAATGCCTATCTGGGATGATTAGAATGAAAGTGAAGATGACGGGCATGAACATTTTGGAGCAAGTTGCCATTATTGTGATAAGGGAAAATGGCAACGGGGAAAACCTTCTACTATGGAGGCCTATTTAGCACTTCATTGTAAAGGCCCAGTACCGGATGACATTAGAAAAAAGTGGTTAATCGAAGTAGCTAAAAGAGGTGAAAAAGTGAATGACAAAAATGAAGAAATTCCTAACAGAAAAAAAGCCAAAATGTCCAACCAATCAATCGCTTCACACTTCCAATCTATTAACAAATTAACCTCTCAGCAATCTGCGAACATTACAAAAGCATTGCTTAAAGCTTTTGTATATTGTGGAATTCCCTTTATTATTATTGATAATCCATATTTTTGAGATTTTTTAAAACTTATACAACCTAGTTATGTGCCACCACGTAAAGATGCACTTGCAGGTGCATTGCTTGAAGGAGAAATTGCACGAATTGTTGTTAAAGTAGAAGCGGAATTACAAAAAACGAATAACTTAACTCTATGTATGTAAATATAATTTTAATTAGTTTAACTCTATATATGTAATATAATTTAATTGGTTTTTAATTTATGTGATAATAAACTTCTATTTATAGCACTTGACGGTTGGACTTCACCAGGGGGGTAATTCTCTTTATAATTATATTATTACAACTCCAGACCATCATGAATATCTCTATGCTATAGCTGATTATTCGGGAGAGCATCAAATAGGAAATTTTATTGCTAATAAAATTTCTGAGATTATTGAAAAAATTGGTCCTCACTATTTTGCGGCAATCGTAACAGATAATAGATCTAACGTACGTGTTGCATGACAAGCTATCTACCATGATTATTCTCATATTTTGGATATCCGTTGTATTGCCCATACATTAAATCTATTAGCAGTTGATCTTGTAAAAACAACATTAGTTAAAAATATTTTAAAACAAGCTAACATGCTAGTTTTATTTTTTCAAAAGTCTCATTTAGCAAACCGACTTCTACGAAATACAATTTTATTAATGAATATTAGAGGTAGTTTGTTAGAGACATATAGTGAAACATGCTGGGTATCTATTTATAATACAACAAATTCAATTGTGCGTGTTAGACCTGCAATTGATAAGGTTTATAATTATAATTATTAATTATTATTATTATTATTATTATTATTATTATTATTTTTTTTTTTTTTTTACCTTTTTTTTTTTTTTTTTTTTTTTAAGATTCTTGAAGAACAACCAGACATATTTACTAATAATGAAGTATTTAAAATTGCATTTGATGAAAATGATGTTTTCTATACCTCATGCAGAAGAATTGCATTAATTTTTGATCCAATCAAACAAGTGATCAATTTGCTTGAAGGCCGTACAGCAAGTTTGGCTGATTGTTTTATGGGAATAGTCCAAATTGCTGTCACCCTAAGAAGAATACCTCCCAGTAACAATTTTTGTGCTCTTGCTATTGCAGCATTCAACCTTAGATACGACCAATTTGACGTTTCTCTATATCTTCTAACCTATTTTCTTCATCCATACTATCGAAGCCATGGCCTTAAAAAAGGACAATTCTGTAACATTTGTGAATTGGCAGTTAATTACTATAAAAACTTGCATCATAATAAAAAAGAATGTCGTGAATTAGTATGTTAACTAATTAAATACAAAGCAAGAGTTGCACCTTGGGATCTTGAGTATTCTCCTAACTTAACATCTTCTACATGGTGGGAAGTCATTGAAGATGAATATATGCACTTGCAAGAACTAGCAGAAACTATGTTTGCTATCGTACCCTTACAAGCTGGTTGCGAACAAAATTTTTCTATTTTGAAGTGGTTTAGTGAAGGGCGTCGCATGTGGCTTCAAGTTTCAAGATTAGAAAGTATAGCACAAATTCACTCCTTCTATGTTTCAAATATCAAAAAAGAATTAAAATTTTGTAATGATAATTTTGTAGAGACAGAGTTGCGTAATAGTGTATTAAATAAAACAGTTTTTGCAGAAATAGATAATATTGAATTAAATGAAGATGAAGAAAGAAATGAAATAGAAATTGCAGATCTTTCACCAAATGAGCTCTTCAAGATTTGGTAGATCTATCAGACCCGATATTTGGTGCAAATAATAATCAAGAGGAATCTATTTTGACTGAAGAAGAAACGAATATGGAATTTGAAAGTAGGTCTATAGTTCAAGATGCATTAAGCGATAGTGACCTATATGAATAATGCTATATAAATTCATTTTGTATATTAACCTTACCCAATTTTTTTTTCTACTTGAGTTTTTTTCTCTAATCGAATTTTTTTTCTATTGGAGTTTTTTTTTTTACTCGAGTTTTTTTTCATCTTATTTTTTTTTTAGTATTAAACTTACCATATTAAATAAATAAACCTATTGCACATTAAACATACCGGACATAGAGAAAATTTGGTAGATAAAGACTAAGTAGAATATGTTTGAACAGAAGCAATATGTCAGATCTAAATAGTTATTATATTCAATATGTGTACAATAAATGAAAAATAACTATAAAAGTAAAAACCTTTTTTATTCACAATAAAGTTATTTCTTCAAATCATCTTCCAGCAAAGCTCAAGACCTAATATTAATAATTTTTTTTTATCTGTTTAATAAGAGTGACATTAAAGTAAAAAAAAAAAAAAAAATTGGTTATATATGATATAGTCTTCTCATTAATTAAATTCGAATCGAAATTTTCATCACGAAATAGGGAAATTTTAATAAATTAGTGCGTTACCGTCATGGTGCTCAATTCAAATAAGGAAAGAGACACTCTAACTACAGAACTAAAGCCTTTTTTTTTACTTTGTGTGACCATCGTTTAAATTCAAATTTTGTATATCCCAAACCAGTTTTTACATGTAAAAATTTGGGATTTTTAGCCGTAATACTGTAATATAGATTACATGTCAAAAGTGTTTGACATTACGGCAAATTAAAGGCATTTTGCGAAATCTAGTAAATACTATTTGGGTTTCTACCTAATCCCAAACTAGTGAGTTTGGGCCGCAACCCTACTATATATACTATAGATGTTCTCTGGGTATGAGACACTAGTTAAAGATAAAAATTCATTCACATTCACATTTTATATCTTATCATAGCCATACATACAAAATGCAAAAATTGACGACGTATCAATCGAGACATTTGCTAATTGGGTGGCAGAATACGCCACAACCCATGGCCTAAACAAGCAATACATAACTAATGGAAATTTACTACGTTGGTATAAAATTATACTTTGGAAATGGCAAAAAGAAGAGACGGAGAAGTATATCCGAGATAAAATTAATAAAGCAAACAAAATTACAAACTCAAAAAATGTCGCTAAGGATGCTTTGGTAAACAGCTTGTTCATTTATTACTTTATTCTTTTCATTGCCTATGATTATATTCTTAATGAAAATGCTGGGCCAGTGTCCACAAATGGACTCGAGGTTTACCCTTCATATTATTTGCTAGTAGACGTGCCTTTGATTCGCACTTTCCACCCATATTTTTTCATATGCCTTCTATTCATCATTTTATCTCGTCTATTTCGGCGCTTTGCAAAAACCTTGGGCTTTAGGTTAACTCGGTGGTATAATATGTTTGGGCCAGTTTCGCATTGTTGCGCCACCAATGTGTTTCGAGGTTTACCCTTCATATCTATATTACTGGGCCATTTCTCTTTGGTTGATGCACTTTTTTCTTTATTATTCTTTATCTGAATTATCTTCTTTTTTATGGTGTCGAATATGAGGCCAAGTTATCTATAGTTTCAAATAATTCAAATTCTTTTGAGCAATCACATTTTCGCTTCATCTATCTCAGGAAAATTTATCACATTGCTCTGAGTCTTCCTCTATAATCGTATCCGGTGACTCAAGCCTTCAAGATCATCAAGAAGCATCCGAAATTTTTAACTTTGCCGGCTTTAAGGATACAAAGATTGATAACAATCCTATTATCGATCTTATACTTCAGCATAACCTAAATTGTGTTGCACATAACGATCCAATACGATCTGGTCATCTTTTTGCAACCTTTCCACACCCATTATTATATAACAAAAATCCCGATAAGTTTGATGCAATCATAAACCGGAATGATCGTCAGTTTGGAAAACTAGCCCATCCATTATCAAGGAAGATGGCAGAATGGTTTTTCGAGATTTATAAACGATCAAATTTTACTTCTCACCATTTCGAAAGGCCAGAGTTTCTCACATCTAAGGAGGGGCATTTGGCGGTGCAAATTGCGTCTACCATGTATTTATTTGTTCTGTTCTCATAACCTTATTTCAATTAGCTATTATAAAATAATTATCCTATTTGTTTCATAGACAATTATCCGTGAATCATTATCAAAAAACGGGTATGAATTCTCAATCAGTAAATTCTGAAGCTACCTGGGTAAATTTCGTGGAAACCCTGCTAAAAGGTATTATTAATCGCATTAAAAATCTGGTATATGAAAAGTAAGTGATTATATATTTTCAAATGTTCGATCATTTTGTGCAAATGTCCTCCTATCACTCCCCAAATATTACACCATTTAAGCACTTTAAGTACAACCGTGGATTATCTTGACTATCAAAAGGAGAATGGAGAAATCTGCAAAATTAAGCCAGGTGGGACTATATATTTTGTTATCCCCGAAATGCATTTTCCAATTGGATTCCTTGAAGGTCAGAAGCCGTACCTGCCAAACGCAACAAAAAAATCACAGACCGATGCAGAAAAGCTACAAAGGGAGATTAAATTGGCGCACGATTCTCTTTTGAGAGACATACAAAGCAAATATTCAGCTCGGATTTCGAAAGAAGTCGCTAAAAAAATATTTGAAATTCCATTCATCACATCTCAAATAACTGGTGAATATTTTGAAAGTCTACATTTATTATTGAACAATTTATCAACTGAATGTTTCTTTGTAGGTTCTGAAGCAATAATCTCAGTCTCAGATCGAACGCTTCATCCAATATTGACAACGTGGGAATTATGCCGGTTCCGTATTGATTTTCACAAGTTAGAAAGGATAAACGATATTCAGAAAATTTTTTCGGGAATATTCGTATTGCAGGAATTGTTTGAAAAAATAGATACGAGTTGGAATGAACTTTTTATATTTTTGGCTGATGCTCCTCAGCTACTACCAAAAAAACGCTACAATTTGTCAACAGGAATCATCCCATTTTATCATTATGCTCTGGGAGAATATGACTCTCTTGAGTATAATTACCAATTATCACAAAACAGATTATGTTAAAATATCTTGTATTTCATTACCGAAATAAAGTTCTAGAATTCTTGGACTAGTACTTAGCGATATACTTTTTATGTTGGTATATGCTGATATGTGACTGACTTTCAAGGAGGTTAAGTATGTATTTCATTTTAGCAATATAATTAAAGCATAAATGAATTGAAGAGGGATATACGATTTTATCAAGGTGCAATTGAGAGAAAAAAAAAGCCCAGAAATATCAAATTTTTACCGGGTCGGGATAGGTTAATCGGTAAAGAGTATTACACCGTAGTATACTAAAAAGCGGTTTAAGTATTACAAGGCTCGATAATCTTATAAAAGAAAAAGCCATAATCGATTCATAAAATTTTTGGTCGGGTCTAGTCAAAAAATAAATCACATTTTGCCAATGATTATGGTGTTTCTAATAAAAATAAAAAGGAATGTTTATTCTAAAATTTTTGTATCATATAATTAATATTTCTATTTAAATTTCAAGAAAATTACTACATATCACCGGTGGTGATCATCACCAGTCCTAAGATTTGTTAGAGTTAGGGTTAGAAATTAGAGAATTATTTTTTTTTTATATAATATAATATAGAGCTAATATAAAGTCCCGATTTTAGT